GGCTTGACCATTAATTACGGCATCACCCATGAATGGAATGTTTAATAAGAAATTACAATTAGTATTATAATACTAAGTGAAAATTAAAGAGGAGATGAGGAAAATTAATTAACGAAGTCAGGGAGACAAGGTGATGATGGATCCTCGGCAGTTGAAACGTTAACTGAGAAAACTAGTGAACAAAGTCATATTCCTTGCTTAAAAATAGAAATTAGCGAGGTAATTAGCTGCTGATAATTTTGATGTTTTTTTTTATTCAAAAGGAAATTACATGCTACATCACAAAAGATGTCCATCAACAATAATAAAACAGACCTCTCGGTATTAAATTCTTGCAAAAGAACATTAGGAATGTCAGACAAGAAAATCAAATCAAAAGATAATCTCATATGTCTAGCCAGCGCATCAGCAACACAGTTTGCAGCACGGTTTCAAGAAACGAGCTCGACATGCCAATCACATTACAAAATACATTGCGGATAATTTTGACGTTTCTAAAATTACATTTAGCATAAGAAAATTAGTGAATAATTTATTTTTTTGTCTAAAATAAGACGAGATATTAATTAGGAAGGAGCAAAATTTCTCTCTGCATCATTGGGGGATTAATGAGACAGTTATTGATACTTGCTCGTGTTTCACAAAATTTAAAAAACAGTGTGTGTTTAAATGTCATAAGTGAAGTAAAGAGCTTATTAATCGGAAACACGCTATAGCACTTCTATAAGTATACCTTGAATTGTAAGTCTCATGGATTGATTCTAGTGAATTTTCAATATCCAATTCATGTTAGCATTTATGTCAACAATTTTTTTAATGAAAAATTGATAAATTATATTTTACATAATTAAAGTATCATACCTTGTAAACTACATTAAATCTCATCGACATACATTTGTCAATCTATGAAAAACCATATTACATATATTCCCCCGTTAATAAATATTGTTTTAATTATGTAATTTTTTTTTTGGCCCACGGTTTTAATTATGTAATTGTTATTCTATAAAACACAATCAAAGCATCAAGGGGCATGAAAGTAGTACGTAGCACAGATAATAGAGGCAGAGCATAATCCCTGACCGCTTAATTGCCACAAGACGCGCCATTGATTGATTGATTTCCTCATGAAGACCGTCTCCTCCTTTCTTTCCCCCAAATCTTGTCTACATATAATATATTCACCTTTTGGTAAAACACGGAACAATTCAAAATATTTGTAGGCTAATTTGGTGCTCAATATTTTAATTAATGGACACAATTGACAAGACGTGACTCGTGATATAGACTCGGATCTATCTGTTGCCCTAATGAAGATTTTGTGTGTAATTTTGAAGTATTTTTCTGCTTTTTAAATGATGATGATGTTTTTTTTTCCAAATAATCTGAGCAAGCTTTTTTTTTTTTTTGTTATGAAAAAGTTCATATGAGATGAGTTTTGAGGACTTACTAAAATTAAGATATATTTTTAAATTTAAAAAGTGTGTACAGAATTTTGGTAAGCTCTTTATTAATCTAACAAATTCATTTTATTTAAAAACTAACTAAAATTAACGTGAATAATGTAAATTCTCATTATTTAACTCAAATTGCTATATATGCATGGATTTAAATTCCAATTGTTATTTATATAAAAATTTAATTAAGAGATGTTCACTGTTATTATCTTGGAGGAGATATTTTTTTTGCTGTTGATGAAACCCACTCTTTATACTTACCAAAATGCTTTTGAGAACTATAAATATATTTTGAATAAAGAAATTAATTATTTTTTCAATTCTATGTATAAGATAATTAAGTTTTACATGTATATTTTAAATTTATGTATCTACAAATAATTAGAACTCCTGGATAATTAATTTTTGATTTGGCATTTATATATAGTTCTTCTGTTGCTCCTTTTTTACACTTAAAAAAACACAAAAGCGAATCTACAAGACGGGGTGGGGAAAAAAACATTAATCATTCCTCAATCCTCTGACTGGGACGAGAACGAGAGACTGAGGTAGGGAACATGCTCGATCTGCCGCGTGCGTTGTCGGTTGCCATAAATTCTTTCAATCATGAACTGCGTGGGCGAGACAGTAAATAATTAAACATGTCTCCCATCTAAATTTTAAAAAAATTATTTATTTATCTTTATTGAATCTACTTAAAGTTTTCAAGGGTTTTTTATTGATTGGATTTTCGGGACTTTTGATTCTAATATAAAAATATTTGACCACATTTGTGATTGTATTGAGCATACAAATAAATCCATCGTGAATGAGGCAAACTTCAAATCCATTGAATGTTTTTTTTTTCTTTCATATATTAATAAAAATCACTGCCACATCTGACCTTGTTCGATTTCAATATATGTCAATAACTCGTCCTGAATTTATTAGCGACGCACAGTTTGAGGAACCAGAATTTGATGCTGGTGTCCACTTCAACTTTTGCTATATATATATATATATATATATATGTGCGCGCGCGCGCCTTTGTCTTTTTTGTTTTTGTTTTTGTTTTTAATGAAGTGTGTGTGTGTTGTTTCTTATAGCGTGTTATTCCTTCTTGTACAAGTCTTTCCAACCTTAAAACTTGTTAATTTTTTCTAAAAAATCTAATAAATTTTATTTTTATATCCATTAAATAAACATATTTTAATATAATATTTTTTCCACCAATATTTAATAGTACTACCCCTATTATAAATTATAAGATATTTTTGAGAGAGATTTGTCATCTTAAAATATAAGACACTTTAAAAAAATTAAAATTTCACTAAATAAGTTTATTTTAATATTATCCTTTCTCTCTTTCTATTTAATATTAATTTGGTGTGAATTTAAGGCTATTAAATGAAAGACGTTTTTAAAATTTTATATTTTTATTTTGAAAAAATGAGGTTGTTAAGTGTCTTTAATTAGGGTTATTAGTATGTGAGATTTTATTTAAAAGTATCTTATAATTTTAAATAAAGGGAGTATAAAAAAAAAAGAGTTATGTGATGAAAAGTTAATGATATGCTTTGTCAAATGACTAAAAAAAAAAAATCCTTTTCCCCCAAACTTGAAGAGATATCATGGTGTAAAGCCTATGCAGATTCCAATGTGGGATTTTATTTCATTTTTAAAACAAGTTCAAACTTTATTTTAAAAAAACATAAGTAAAACAATTACAAAAACAAAAGGACCTCAGAAGAAACTCTTGAAGGCCCATGTGAAAAGAAGGCTAAACATAATAAAAAATAAAGACAAGCACAACAAAACAAGTTACAAAACAGTAAAAAATACAAAAACTTAAACGGGATAAACACATGAAGCTGGAGCCAAACATTTTGGATCCATGTGGACGAAACTTGATAAAACTCGCTTGAAGATGAGGTGGAGTCAGCTTGAAGTCCAGCTCGATGATAGTAGTTGGAAGAGCTGTGAGTTATATAATGAAAGGATAGCTTAATATCGAATCATCTAATAATCTCTCGTAAGATTTAAAAAACCAATTTTTAAACTCATGAAGCAATTGACATTGAAGATTTTCACCCACACTTCCAAAAATGACTTTGGTCAGGATGGCATGTAAAGCTTCAAAACATAAAAACCAGAAACGATGAAGCAGTGCTATACATTGGACCTCTAAACAGCATCATGAGATTTTATTTGGCTTCATTTTTTTTCGTGTATTTGCCATGGTTTTATTTTAATATTATAATTTGATCTCATTATTTAAAAGAAAAAACTATGTTATGATTCGCCGTCACGAACGGGATAAGAACAACATGGGGATAATTGTGCGCCTGTGGGTGGAATTTCGCGCACGATCGTATCCTCGTTAGGACGTTAATATCGCTATTTGTGATAGATAGAGTATTGCTCAGTTGCATATTGTGTGTGTGTGTGTGTGTGTGTATATATATATAAATATGCGTAGTGGGCAACGTGTTAATGGATTAATATTGAAAAAACCGGTAGGTTGGAATGGCACGCTCCATGTCATAAATTAAGGAAACGTGTTCATCGATTAATATGCCTTGAATCGGAAACCGAGTGGGAATTTTGTGGGACGACTCTTGGCGTCAATCTTGTAACCTTATTAATTTATTTCGAAAAAGGTTCTTTTGAATCGCCCAAATTAACATTCTGTTTACGACAACTTTAATTGCCTAATTAATCTGTCTTCCCTATAGTATTTCATAATCCGTGATCATCAAAATCAGAAGATAAAGATGGAGATGGTCAAAATGATAGAATAATATGGGTGGCCAGACATGGTCAATCTTGTTCCCATTATGCAAAGCATAATTTCAACGGCATGCCAGGAATCCGTATTCCACATAATAATTAAATTAAATTAAATTTATTCAATGCTATTTGGATTCACAAGACTGATTTGTGAAGAATTCGGTCTCTGTATGATCCAATCCATCCAATTTGTTAATTAATTTGACGACACTGCCTTTCAGATTTCCTCTCCATTCTTTAATTTAATCTAATTACTCTGTTCAATCACTGTTTTACCCTTTTCTGCTTTCCTAATAATCATTTTAATTTAATCTACTTCTTTATTAGACCCAGACATTTCCCAATAATCGCAACAGATAATTGAATTGATAATGGCTCAAACTTAAATCAAGCATGCTGGTAAAAAAAAAAAAACTTAAATCAATCATTAATTTCTCTCCGTTCTTTCTTTTTTTCTTTCAAATTTTCAAGGTTGTGGTGGATCATTGATTAGTTTGAACATCTGGTAAAAAAAAAATTTGAATACAATGGCAAGCCAGTGGGGGTTAAAATGCCATACGAGGAGGGCATTTGTGTAAAACAAACCTGATTAGGAATTCAGGATCAGGACTAAAACGTAAGAGCGACCTGAGTTGCCATCCAACTGGATTGGCTTCTCTCGCCATTTTAAAGGTGATTATTTATTTATATCAAATTAATGATTATAATTAATTGATAAGATATTAATATATCCAAATGAGATATATCTTTCTCTTTTTTACTTCCCATGTTCAAGCTGTCTCAGCAATTCAATGCAGCATCCTTTGTTGAATTTACAAAAATTTGAACAGAACAGACGCCCAAACCAAACGGAACCTCGGAAACAATATTCCCATCGTATTCTTTTCGTCTCTCTAATTCTCGAGGTCGGTTTCAAACCCATGAAACTCCCAAAAATCTCACCGGTCGTCAACCTAACACACTCATCGTATATATCCAAGTATACCATCTCTCCACTTGTAAATTTTTCCCCTCTTCCTTACTCGTCTTCATACTTCTTACCCACTTTTCAGTTTTGAATTTATCCATTGTTGTCTCCTTTTCTTTTGTCTCACTGCATTTCATTTAATCTTTCCTGTAATGGGCCTGCTTGATTGTTGAGAAACTGGAGAACAGGGTAAATGACTTCCTGAGACCTCGCCCAGTTGAAAGAGTTTTTTTTTTTTCGTTTCTCTTAGTTTCTCTGCGATCAAATGAAAATGATTTGTTTGCTTTTCCGGCAGGAAATCTATGTGCAGTCACTGGAAATTCTCGTTGTTGCATCATTTTGATTCATTTCAGGTAAATGTGTGCTCTTTTCTCTCTGTTTGGCATTGTGGCTTGGTTCTGTTATATTTGATCTAGGATCTGTTTGTTTGTTAAGAAATATACTTGCTCATGGAGAAATGAAAGCCAGCTTGTTGCATGCGCATGAAAGTAACAACAGCACATCTAAATATTCCTTATTGAAACTCTAGTTACTTGGTATTGAGGATTTTTTTTTCCTCAGCGATCAAACGGAAGTTCTTTGTTCATGCTGAATTTTGTTTGTTTTTCCAGCAGGAAATTTATGTACAGTCATTGTAAATTCTTGGTGTCGCATCAGTTTGATTCCTTTCAGAAAAAGGTGCGCTCTTTTCCCTCTGTTTGGCTGTTTAGCGTTGTGTGTCGGCTCTGTTATATTTGCTTTAGGGGCTGCTTGTTTGGTAAGAAATATACTGCTCATAAAGAAATGAAAGCCAGTTTGTTTCATGTACATGAAAGTAACGATGGTGCTTATAAATATTCCTTATTCTAACAGTAGTTACTTGGTATTGAAGCTACTTGGCATGTTTGGGCAATGTAAAAACGAACTATTGAAAATTGAAAAAAGGAAAATAAAAATTACTGAAAGAAATGTAAGGTATAAATTAAACAAATTATGTAGAAATAAACAAAGCATTCTGAATATGTTTAAATAGCTGCAAATGAAAAGCAATGCATTTATGCCTCCACTGACTGTTCATGCTCACAAAAAGATAAAGTTCAACAAACTCCTGAGATAATCCATGAATCCACCCACTTATCTATGTTGTTGCTTGGAAATTGTCCCATGTTGCTACTCTGTTTTTACTTACGTTCTCCTTTGTCCTGGCATATTGGCTGGGTTTATTTCAGTATACCATGTTTCTGCATACTGTATTTCTGTGAAATTAAATAAATGGATGAACTCTCTCACTTGAGGAGTTCAATTATTCAATTATTTGATTTATTGTCTCAACCGGTAATTAGTCTTAATGATTTTTCTGGATTAAATTAAAATGATATATAAATAATGTGAATCAGTTCTTTATTCTGCCTAACTCTGCTTTACTTGCAGTTCCCAAGGGTAACGCTCTTTTCTTCACGTGCTCTATATGACAAGGGAAGGAAAGCCGCGTGAAGGGCTAGTAATACAAGAACTGATTATCATGAGCTTAGCTGTATAAGTGCTAGTTCAATCTAGGTATGTATGCGTTCGTTTTCTTTATTAGCCATTTTATCCCACATCTTTCATTCTAATATTGTGAGTCTGTGTTTCTGGTCAGATGACAGATATTATAGTGCTTTTGTAGCATTGGATGACTCCAAGATCAAGTATAATTGGACTGGCCAAACCCTTGGTTGGAATCTCCGCCTTTCTTGCTTTCTTTTCCTTTTCTGCCTGATAAGTTTATTTCTTTCTTTGAATATGAAATTTTGATGTCCTTTATTTTGATAATTTGGATTAGTGAAAAATTTATCAGCAGTGAAATTATGATAGAAGCTTCAATCATTTTTCTGATTTATTGCTGTCCCTTGTCTTTGCTAGGAGCGAAGAACATATTATTTGGGAAAAGTTGATTTTTCCAATTAGTGTTTAAAGCCAAGCATACTTTGCTATTTTTTTTCCCTGGCCGATAGGCGTTGTATAAAAAATTGAACTTGTAATCACCTTGGCTTTCGTCTAACATGCTGCTTCTTATCTAATGTGGTTTTAATTGAATTGATTAGGGAATTCACTCACACATGCATCTGGTAGGGGTGTTTTTGATTGAATAATGATCTTGTCTCTTGTTTTCCATATTTCAACAATTGATGATGAAGTTAGACATGGTAAAAAATATTCATCAAATAATTATCAGGTGATTTGAGTAGCATTTATCTGTTTTTCTATTTCAACAAGCAATCACGATGACTAAACCTTTACAAAAAAGAAGCAAGTGATTGCCTAAACAATGTTTCAAGTACTGATTAATTAACCTTGAGTTTTTTGCTTTGAGTTATGTACTTGTGTCCTATAGCATTGCGTGTAGTCCTGCATGTTATAGTCATCACGAATTCTTTTCTATTGTCACAGGTTCTTCCTTTTCTTTGTGCCATTTCTTGTAACTGCTGATCCAACATAACATTGCATGGCCTGACACCCAATATTGGAAATTGCAGTAAAGATGGTGGCTACGTCTTGCACAAATTTGTTGGACTTGGTGTCTGGGGACATTTTAAATTACCCTCAAACTCCCAGAGCTCTTCCGCGTGTTAATACTGTTCCAGGAGTTATTTCTGATATAGATGGGAAAGAAAGTACTGGTGATGATAACTCACATGCTTCCTCATCTGAACATAGTCAAAAGATAATTGTTGTATCAAATTTTCTTCCCCTTAATGCTCAAAAGGATAAAGATTCAGGCAGATGGTGCTTTAGTTATGATGAAGATTCAGTTTTGTGGCAGCTAAAAGATGCTATTTCTTATGATACTGATGTTGTTTATGTGGGATCTTTGAAGGTCGATGTTGATGAAAGTGAACAAGAGAAAATTTCTCAAGAGTTGCTGGATGAATTCAAATGCTGGCCTACCTTCCTGCCATCGCTCATTCAGAATAAGTTTTATAATGGATTTTGCAAGCAACATTTGTGGCCTCTATTTCATTACATGTTACCCATGTTTCCTGATCATGGCAATCGCTTTGATAGGTTGCTTTGGCAGGCCTATGTTGCTGCTAACAGGATATTTGCGAGAAGGGTTTTGGAGGTTATGAATCCAGAAGTTGATTATGTATGGGTTCATGATTATCATCTAATGGTTCTGCCAACATTTCTTCGAAAAGGATACAATAAAGTCAAGCTAGGATTTTTCCTCCACAGCCCTTTTCCTTCATCAGAAATTTTTCGGATTCTGCCTGTCAGAGATGAAATTTTGAAAGCACTTCTCAATGCAGATTTAATTGGGTTTCATACATTTGATTATGCTCGTCATTTTTTATCTTGTTGTAGTCGAATGCTTGGCTTGGAATATGAATCCAAAAGGGGCTACATTGGGCTTGAATACTTTGGCCGCACAATATACATTAAAATCTTGCCAGTAGGGATTCACATGGCTAGGCTTCACTCTGCCATAAATCACCCATCATCTTCTGTCAAAGTTCAAGAACTGTGTGAGCAATTTAAGGGGAAGCAACTTATTCTTGGTGTTGATGATATGGACATCTTTAAAGGAGTCAATTTGAAGCTCTTGGCTATAGAATTACTCCTAGAGCAGAATCCAAAACTGCAAGGTGAATTAGTACTAGTCCAAATTGTAAATCCCCCAAAAAGTTCAGGCAAAGATGTTCAGGAAGCAAAGGGGGAGATACACATTATTGCTAACAGGATAAATGAAAGGTTCAGCTTGCTAAATTATGAACCTGTGATCATCATAGATCATCCTCTTCCTTTTTATGAGAAGATAGCCTATTATTCTTTGGCAGAATGTTGCATTGTGAATGCTGTGCGGGATGGTATGAATTTAATTCCATATGAGTATATTGTCTGTAGGCAGGGGAATATGCAAACAGATCAACCCTTGGGAATTATTTCAGAGTTCGCTCGTACAAGTGCGCTTGTTGTTTCTGAGTTTATAGGTTGCTCGCCATCTCTTAGTGGGGCATTGAGGGTGAACCCATGGGACATTAGGGCTGTAGCTGATGCAATAAATTTGGCCATCAATATGTCTATAGCAGAGAAACAGTTGCGGCATGAGAAACACTATAGGTATGTTAGCTCTCATGACATGGGTTATTGGGCTCGAAGTTTTGTGCAGGATCTAGTTCGTTCATGCCAGGATCACCTCTACAAACGTTGTTGGGGTATTGGCTTTGGACTGGGTTTCAGAATCCTGGCCCTTTCTCCCAGTTTTAGGAAGCTGTCAATTGGCCAGATTGTCTCTGCATACAAAAGGTCAAATCAGAGAGCAATTTTTTTGGACTATGATGGTACAATTGTGTCCCAAAATTCCATCGTTAAAAGCCCCAGTCCTGAACTCATATCTGTGCTAAACAACCTATGCAGTGACCCCAAGAACATTGTGTTTTTAGTTAGTGGTAGGGGAAGGGCTTCATTGGGTGAGTGGTTAAATCAGTGCAAGAACCTTGGTATAGCAGCTGAGCATGGTTATTTTATAAGGTTAGTCTCTCCTCAATCCAAAGCATTGGCTTCTTAGATATGAAGTTAAATTCTCTTTGCACGTGCTTACAAGGGAGATTTTACTTGTTATAAATCTCTAGATTTTTGAAGTTTTGTTTACTCTTGAATGCAGGTGGGATGGACAATCAAGTTGGGAAACAAATCATATAGCTACAGATTTTGCTTGGAAAAGCATTGTTGAACCTGTGATGAGATCATATACTGAGGCAACAGATGGCTCTCATATGGAGATGAAGGAGAGTGCCTTGGTTTGGCACCACCGTGATGCAGATCTTGATTTTGGATCTTGGCAGGCCAAGTCGCTGCTGGATCACCTTGAGAGTGTCCTTACAAATGACCCGGTGGTTGTTAAGAAGGGACAGTACATTGTTGAAGTTAAACCACAGGTAAATCTCTGTCCCTTTCTTTCTCCGTCTCAACCCATAATTGTTCATAAAAAGTTCTAAACTTGGATAATCAACACAACAGGGAATCACTAAAGGGTTAGTTGTAGAGGAGGTTCTGTCTACACTGGCCAGGACTGAGAAATCGCCAGATTTCATTCTGTGCATTGGGGATGATAGGTCTGATGAGGACATGTTCGAGAGCATATCAACCAAAGTTTACGGAGGAAGCCCATCTTCAGCACCGGAAATCTTTGCTTGCACTGTTGGCCAGAAACCAAGCAAAGCCAGGTACTACTTAGATGATACTGCTGATGTGATGTTGCTGCTTAAAAGCCTTGGTACTGCTGCTTCAAGGCTTAAACCAGTATGTGATGAAGAAGGTCATTCTGACAGAGTAGAAGCTGGTTTTGAGAACATTGCTTGAAAAATGCTGGACTTGCTCGTTGAAGTAGTAGCATAGGGTGGAGAAGCAAACTTAGAGGATATGGTTCGGAATGCAAGAGGTGTTTAGAGTGGTTGAACTTTGATTGATATGAGGGGAGGGGAAGAGTGAATTTGTTTGCTTTCTAGAAGTAGCCTTAAAAAGAAAAAATATCAAATATATTGAGGGGTTAAGGAATTCTAGTTTCATGGGACTTTGCAAATCCTTTGTATAGTTCGAATTAATTTGGTTTATGCAAGTCATTAGGGCATTCAAGTCTCAAAATGGCGGTTATGCACACCATTAGAAGAGTTCTTATTTCATATCTGTGGCTTATTATGTAACATATTTGATGGATTCAATTTTTTTTTTCTTTTTTCATTTGATGGATTCAGTCATAAGTTGGAAAAGATAGAGGTAAACCGGAAAGAAAATGACTTGTCAATTTTTTAATTTGATGGATTCAGAATTTGTTTTTAATTTCTATTAATTTTCCATCTAGTAAACCCTGGTGTATCTTCGATGAAATAGCTTGTTAATTGTTTGGTAATTTAATGTTTCAAAGGAAAAAATTTGTAGGGCAGAGTGCTTATTATGAGTAGAGGTGAAAGGAAATGATGCATGCGGGTTTGGTTGGGGAGGGGGGTGCGCGCGCGCGTTTGTTTTTTTTTTTTTTTTCAAGGGGCAAAAACCTTTTTTATTAATAATGAAACATTAACTCTACTATTATATGCTAACACGACATGTCTATGGAATTCATGTACAGTAACATATAGAATTTTAATTATATTTTTTAATGTTAGTTTGTCCTTAAACTCTTTTTTCAAGAGCACTAAAATTTTAAAGTTTTTTTCTAGAAGTGATGGGCATTTTAAAATCTTGTTAAAATAAAATTTAATAAATATTATTAAAGTATTAAATATTTTAATATTTAATAATTTAAATATTATTATTTAAAACATTACCTAACCAATTTAATAAAATATTCTGCAATAAAAATGAAGGCAATGAACCTCCAAATTAATAAAAAAAATTTTCTTCTTATCTCTCTATTTTTTCTTGTTAAATAAATTTTTTTGTAGCACATTAAAAAAATAAACGATATCTTTTAAATAAACATTTTTTTTGTTATTTTGTTGGTTTTGATTGTCATATTTCTAACTTTACTCTTAACATTACAACATATAAAGAGCATTAAATATGAATAATATAATATTTTAGAGGAAAATCGTAAGTTAACCAAAAAAATAAAGAAATTTAATCAATATTAAAAATGTAAGTAAGTTCTGACATGCACAAAAAATATAAAGATTTGAACACTGTCTTAAAAAAAAATCAAAGATCAATATATAAAAAATAAAAAGTCATCTATAAATTTATTAAATATTAATTTGAATTCTTAATATTTAAAAGTAATTTATAAAATTTGAATGAATATTTATAAATAATTAAATTTTATTTTAATAAAATTTTAAAATACCAAGTGCTTTTAGAAAAAAAATTTAAGATATTTAATGTTATTAAAAAAGAATTTAAAAATAAATTAATATCAAAATTCAAGACTTATTTGTCAATGTATATAGACTCCATGAATATATCATATCAATATATAAGTTAACGGTTCAATAATAATATAATTTTTTGCTCTTTAAAAAAATAATTTAAAATAAAATTATTCAACTTGCGTCACTTAAAACTATAAAATATCTAACGCTCCTAAAAAACATCTACAAACACCAAGTTGAACATTCACCCTTTAAAATAAGTTGAATCCACACGGGAGGAGTGAAACCCCGTGGTCCCAGTGACACTTTGCCGAGGGTAGGAAGAAACCAGAAGGGAAGACGAAGACGACACTGCGACGTCGTCAATTCTGAGACACAAAAACAAAGTGGAAAATGCCATCCGTTTGCTTTACTCTCTTCTCTATTTTACTGATCGCCACCCTTCCCAACTTTCAGGTGCAATGATTTGTAGTCTTTTCCAGATTTTTCTCTTCTCCCTCTTCCTTTTTCTCAGCGATCGAACGATCGCTGGTCGATCGCTGATGATATGTTTACTGCCTTTTGTGCAGGGATACGCCGCTAGTGATCTTTACTCCAGATCATCATCGCCGTTTTCAGTGGCTCTTGAAACCCTTCAGAAACAATTAGGGTTTGTCCTTTCGTTTTTTCATTTCCCCCCCTCTCGTGTTATTCTTTTTCTATTTTCTTTTTGGTTAAACACTGGCCCTTCAAAATTAAGCAAATTCCTTGTATCCTTCTAGTAATTTGTAGCTAACCAGTTTGTATGTTATCACCAGCTATTCCTTCAACAGCACAGGTCTTCTTCGTCGTGCCATGACTCATGCTTCCTTCTCAGAAGAGAACAACAGAGGTTTGAGCATTTTGGGTGCTTGTATCATGCAAAAAGCTGTCTTATTCCAGTTACTATCTAAAGACATTGACATTTCTTCGAGAGATCTGAATCGTCGAATAGCGGAAATCTCCAAAGTGGAATCTGCATGTACTGGAGACGGATTGCGGTTGGGATTGCACAAAGTGGTTCGGGTTTCCCCCAAGACCAATTCTTCTGCACCTTCTGTGGTTTGTGGTGCGTTCCGTGCAATCTTTGGTGCTATTGCTATTGATGCCGCAAACTACGATGCTGCAGGCAACGTTTTCTGGGCCGTTCATGGCTCTAAGGGCGGCGTTGCTCTGCCATTTTGAACCAGTGAGTTAACTAACTTCTCAGTTGCTTGCCCTTTGTTTCTGATACTGAAAACCATGTTAATGACTAATGTACGTACTTGCTAGTTATTGTAGTTTGATCGGTTGTGACTATGTACATGATAATATGCACTTGCGCGTATTACGGGAATTACTAAATGGTTCCGTATGTTACTATTATTCACCCATGCAGGTGTTTAAAACGATTATATAAATATGTTTGCCTTGAATTTTCGTGGTTTTTCGTCTTTCTAGAAAAAGAGCCAGTTTTATTAATCACAACAAAACAATAACATACTAATAGCCGGAAAAAAAAAAGGCTCACAAAAATCTATGAATAGAACCTAACACACCAAAAGAAAAACACAATATCCAGTTCATCAGAAATTTTCTGTTGATGTCATTGTTCATATCTTTTAATTTTATGCCATGGATGTGTTTGTAACTGCAGTCTATTTCTCTGTTTCTTCTTAGCTTTCTTTCGCAAGTCTTTTTTATTTGCTTGGATTACGCTGTAATATGACGGGGAAGAATGTAGCTGTAATTGATCTTAAGCCTGTTCAAAGATGCATTCTCATGTGAGTATAAAACTGATTCTCGATTCACTTCTTGAATTTGAATCTATATCATAGAGCGATGCTAGGAATTATGATCGTGTCTTTGACATCCATAAGGATAAAATAGCTTGCTTTTATAAAACTTAATATTAGTGGCAGGGTATTTTTTTAACTTGCTTTTTAACATGTTTTTTAACATGCACCTGTACATCAAGGGGATGTGCAAAGGGGGTGGCCAGGGTAAGTTAAAAAAAAAAAAAAAAACCATGCCATATTTAGTGAGAAGTGCGGACCTGAGTCAAATTGTTACAATCTGCTTTGTTTTCCTAGTTTGCTAATTTGGATCTAAGTTTTTTTAACCAATGGGCGCTTGATCGAGTTGGAAAGAACTACGGCCAACATTCTCTAGGGTGATTGTTCGAATCTTGAGAAGTGACAAACGTAATAATTAATGTAATTTTAAAGGGGTTATTCTATCAGTATTTCGCTATCACTGTAAGGTTTCTTCGAGAGGTCTGAATTAGTTTGTGATGAATAATGAATTCAGGATATTTCAAGATGTGAATGGTTTATACCAACAACCAAAAAAAAAATTCTTTAAATGGGAGCTCCATCCAATGTGGTCTTATTTTTAAGTGTTATCGAAAGAAATTGTTTTACTACCTTCTTCTGAAGCATTACCCTTTTCTACTGTTTGTGCAAGGTATTCATATGCTTGCTAGCTACTTTGTTTCTCTTTTATTTAATGTCTCCCTGGATTTAAAACTCTTCTATCACCATTCCCTTCAGAATTTTTGCAAATGTATGTCTTGTAAACTAATTTCTTTTTATTAATTGATTTTTTATTAAAAAGAAGTGAGAAGTGTGGACAGATGGAGGAGGGTAGAAACATAAAGTAATGTTGCGAAGTTAAGAGAGAAAATTGGATTGAAGATGGACGTTTAGTTGAAGATCACGAGATACCTGAGTATCATCGCCATTAGGTGCGTTAATCACGACTTTCTCGTACTAGCCTTTTATCCAATATCATTTGAGAAAGAGTGCAGACTGTTGGAACTAGGATGCTATTTTACTCTTTCTTTGTCCAAAAACGAATTTATTACTAATATTCTCATTTCTCAACAAGCAGCCTGAAAAAAGCTCTAATCTCGGCATGGTTGGGCTTGGCCCAATATGTCACAGATTGCTTGAGTCTTTTTAAAAAAAAAAAAAAAATTTCCTGGCATGATTTGAATTTTAGACCTTACTCTCACCCACCATGGCACATAATTTAGTACCATGTCGCAAATAAAATTTTTAAAGTTAAATGCATAATTTTTTTTTTGAATTTTAATACAGTTGTATATGACCTTTTTTATTTTAAAAATTTAAAGTTAACTTACTTAATCTTTAATTTTATATTTCAAAACTCTCTATTATTAATTATGTTAGGATTAAAATGTTGTTTAACTAAAAAAATCCTATTAAACAAGAATATTATATTTTATAATTATTTGTAATAAATTTTTTATATTTTTTAAATAGTTAAGGCATTGATAATAAAATAAATATTATTATCACTGTATAAAATTTTAAATATTTATGTTTATATTAGTTTTATTCATTTATTTTTTTGTCATCAATAGTGCATGATTTTATTTTTTTAAAAGATAAATTTTTATTTATTTTTTATGTTAGATTAATGTAATGTACATGGTTAAAATGTTTAAATTTTTAATATTAGATGCGGTAATATTAGTTGAAGAAATTGTTATGAGATTTAAAAATGAGTAAAATGTGATGTTGATGAATAAAAAATAACACCTAGGTAATGTTTGGATTAGTGGAGATTTAGATTTGGACAATATTTACTATTTGAACACAAAATTTTATGGCTTTAGATACAATTTTTTTTATTACTATTCTTTTAGAATTTCAAATATCTGATCGACCTTAATTTTTTCAACTGTCAACCATCGTCATTCGAAACTACCAAAGCATGGTGACAAGTCATGCAAGCAGGACAACTCATTTTTACTGGTGTGAACTTTTGATGTCAGATAGAAAATTTTAAATATGAAATTTTAAATTTTAAATTTAAATCCATCTATCCAAATGTCATCTAAAAGGTATTAGTAAATAGAGATAACATCATGTTAAGATTATGCTTAACTTATATTCTTTTTATATATTATTTAAGTTGTGGTTAGATATTAAATGTGATATATTTCTTAACTGCTGATCTCGATCTTGCACAAAGCAAAGATATACAAATTGTTTCGAAAAGCACAATAAACAATTATTTATTATCATAACATAACATATTGACACTAGATCACATTGAGAAAATTCCCAATCAGAAAGGCACGACGTTCTTTAACTACCCAATCACTTAATGAGCGATAATTGAATGGTGAAAAAAGATTGCTTACCGTTTTATTTTGATGTAATATATTGATTAATTTGATAATCATAAGATTAATCTGTGACAGCCAATAACTATTGAGCATAAATATTTTTCTTCCTCTGTCTATATCTTTCCACCTTAATTCTTAAATTAATTGATCATGTCACTGAAATAAGGCCGCTTGAATTGGAAGTTAGAAATCTCTTCCATCAAAAGTGCGCTGGACAAGATAGAAGACCATAGAAGATTCCCTGCCCTACTTGTTTTGTGTAGACATTGACGCGCAAGGACTTTCATGCAAATTGTCAAATTGACGAAAAACAAAATTATTTTCCCATCCATTTATAAATTAACTTTCCCATTTCAACTTGAATCAACAATACAAATTCATTATTCGTTGAATGCTCTCTACCCATTTAAGTGTACTCGCTTAAAATGCAAAAATTGCAAAGTACGTGCAATATTAAATTCACTTTCGAAAATTCCACATATATAATAAACCAAAAGGAGTCAATTTTTAATACAAGCTTGCTAATTTATGTTGATTGAGCTCATAAGGTTTTACCACCAATCATTTAAAATGAGGTAGAAACAAAATCATATTGATTATTGTATCAATCAAAACATTAATTCAAGAGTTAATAGTCAAATTACAGTCAAGTATAATCAAATTAGTCATGAACAAAATATTTCATGTAACTGGATAATATGCTGGTTTAATAGTTTATAGGTTCAATTAGTCAGATTGACTGAATTTTTAATACTGTAATTAGAAATGATAATATCCGTTACTCAAAAGTAGCTGCCCAAACACAATATTCTTTTTGGGCGAACAGCCACGCAAAACTATTAGGTAGAATCAAATCAATTCTTGAAATAGTGTATTGAAACCAACCTAACAAATAACAATCATTTAGGTTTAGGCCGGCAAAACAGAAAAAAACTACAGTTGGGTGCCATATGCCATTATGCTCTAGTTCAGTTGTTTGGTAGCAGGCAAAAAAGTGCGTCCCTATTTTCATAATTTTAATCACAATCTTATCAGTGTTTGGTTTAGCATTTTAATGTAATATCAAACTTTTTGTTTTTGTTTTGGGGTACAAATATAATATCAAACTGATGAAATTAAATTGGTCAATGAGTGAATTTTATTTTTTAAAAGGATAAATATAACTTTTAATTTTTATATTTTACTCACGTTTTACTTTTAATTCCTATACTTTTTTCTGTATTTTAAATTATTATATTTTTATTTTTTATTATTTTAAATCCTTTCAAAATTTTTATGCCTTACTCATAGAAGAATTAAAAATAATAAAAAATAAATATATATGAATTTAAAATATTAAAAAAAAATATAAATTAAAAGTAAAATGTGAATAAAGCAAAAAATAAAAAATTATATTTATTTATTTGGCTGACAGTCGATGAGTGATGACAATTTTATCCAGTTTATATGCTGCACATGGGGGCTGGGGCTAGCACACAGTATTCCAAAACCCAAAGCTATGTATACTGCAACTTTGTCCCGTGACATCCAACTTCGGGAGGAAGACATTTTATATTATTAAAAAGAGAGTGACACCACCCAAGTAAACTGTGACATGTATTTTATAATTACGCAGTCACAGTGTCTAAGAAAAACAATAGGTGTTTAAGTGTTTCATTATTAATTTATTTTTGATAATGGTTCTGATTCAGGTCAAAATTTTGTTTTTTTTTCCCACTATTTGGTGTCGTTTTACAATGAAATTTTGAGAAAGGAGTTGCCTGATTGAGGACTTTTTCTCTTTTGCCATCCACAACTGAAGGCTTGTTAACCATGCTGCTGCTGCTGCTTCTTCTGTGGAAACAATTTTTATAATTAAAGATTGATTGATGATGATGATTGTAATATTTTGTGCTTAAAAGTGAAATCAAAACAATAATTTGTTGAGGTATGCCCATGAAAAATGCCCACACGCTGCATGCTAGATTAATCTGGATAAAAAATCTAGGCTATCAGAGCTCATACAAAAAATCATTTCAATTGTATTTTTTATGTAAGATTGAAGTTAAAAATATAAAACGCATATTCAATTACCTCATAGAAAAAAAAATTGTTTTAGTAAAATTTAAATCGTATGGAAAAAGAAATTTCATTACATTGCGCTTGGGTTAGTTTATCACTCTCTTTCTAATCTACCGGGCCCCACACCCACAAAAATAATAATAATAATAAAAAAAAATTCTCGAAACCTTTCCTGTGCAAGAGGTGTGAAGGCTTGACACCCCTGAGCTAGGCCCCACCACAATATTGATCCACTCATGGCTAATCCCTTCAACGGCTCATTCTCTAACTCCAATTACTATTATGCCCTGGCTCCCCCCCACAATTATCAGCTATCAGCCTATCACCCTGTCCCTCGTCGGCTCGTCCTTAACCCTCACATTATATATCTTCGTATAACCCACTGCTAAGCTTGGACTGCGTGCCAGAGCGAGCACTGAGCGCTGAATGATTGGGTTCATCGTCTCCCGCTCCATCACTTCTCACACAATCCTACAATTACCAATCCCTTCTTCCTTCCTACTACTTCGTTAATCCCATCTATTCTTCTATCGATTCGCTCGATTTCACTGCAAAATTCAAGGTTCTAATATGTCCCGCAAGGAGCCCGAATCCGCCGCCGACGACAGACCCAACAGTCTCCTAGCCAACACGCGCTGCTGCTTCTGCTTCCCCTGCTTCGGCTCCCGCCCTTCCCCCACCGTCGGCCTCGCCTGGTGGGAGCGCGTACGAGCTACTTCATGGTCTCACTCACGCGCGCACGCTTCTCCTATTACCGAGGATCGCTGGTGGTCGCGCGGCCTCAGGGCCCTCAAGAAGATCCGTGAGTGGTCCGAGATCGTCGCTGGGCCGAGATGGAAGACGTTTATCAGGAGGTTCAACCGGAATAGAAGCGGCGGCGGCTGCAAGCACGGGAAATACCAATACGACCCCTTGAGCTACGCCTTGAACTTCGACGAAGGCCCTAACAACCAGAACGGCGATTGCGAAGACAACGGCTACGACGGATACCTCAATTTCTCCACCCGCTACGCCGCCACGCCTGGCTCAATCCCGTTGAAATCTGTTGATGCAGCTCCGGGCAAGGACGTTGCGCTATTCGCTTGAAAATTTGCTGAGTGCGCCGTACAAGCTAAGGTGCGTGTGGGGTAGTGCGCTGGAAGAGACACATCATGAGTTGGAATAGATGACAGAAACGCACGAGACGCTGATCACGCGAGGTTTACGCGCTGCTGTTACTAGTGGTTCGCTGGCTGCGTCTCGTCGCTTACTTTTTCATTTTTGGCCTCCTTTGTTTATACGGTATTTTTTTTTTTCTAGTGAATATTGTATCTGTCTATGTATGTAAAATAATAATTTCCTTTTGGTGGTTGGTAACGTATAAAAATACAAACGGCGGCGTGTTGCTATTGAGATGAGTATACAAAGGGCATGGGATAAAGGAGGATTTGGCTTGTAAGTTGTAATACTCAATTCTCTCCTTCGGTTTTCTGACTATTGTCTCTTCTGTTGGGAGGGTGGGGTTTGCTGGTATCAACTGCAAGAAAGATAATGTGGCCTTTAAGGGAAATGCACTGTGTATTATATTTTATTCATTATATGTTGTCGTTTTTATTGAACCAGTCCGAATGGATGCCTTGCCTTTCTTTTTAATTTTTATTGATCTTCTGTTGTTTTAGTGGAAAAATGGTATTAACCATGTTGCCGGAATTTGATAGGTTAGGTTAGATTATGGGGCAATTTAAGCAGAATATGGGGTCACGTCTAAGAATCACATTCTTGAGTGCTACCTGCATCTTGTCCTCTCGCCCAAGAGAATAAAAGGGCCAAAAAAAAAAAACTTACCCAACCCGGATTGGTGGGTCAGACCTGGGAAATTGATAAACCAGGCTCTGCTCAATTGATCAAGAGGTTTGGGCGGGTTGATAAGAATGAATTTTTTGCTTTTCTTTTCCTTGCTAAGCGTAAAAAGACATTGTTGAGTTAAGAAAAGAAAAGAAAAAATAGTAGACTCTTAGATTTGTGCTTTGATAACTCCATTTTGTTCGATGTAATTTATACGTGAATGTTCTATTTACTTGTGATTCAATGTCTTTTTATTTGAATATTATTCTTTTGAATAGTATATATAAATATTTTTGCATATTTTAATTACTTTGATTGGGTTGATGATCATGTCAGTGTTCAGTACCTTATGAATACAGTTTATAGAAATCTTTAGGAAAAAAATTATCAGCCACATTGTACTAATTTGAAAGAAGTAATGTATTATTTTATCTCCACTGTTTTATCTCTCATATTTTCTTTCGACGTCCGTTTTTACATTTATTATTTTTTATCCTGTGCATGGGTGTGCGCCATGCTCCAAACTCCGCACTCCACATCAGATTAGCCTTTGATACGTGCAGGAGTGTCTGACAAGGAACAATGCGATTACAACACAGTGAAGAAACTTGCCCAATGATATAATATCTTGAAAATTATCCTCTTAAGTAATTAAATTAATAAATGATAAATATATAAATTTAAGCATAAATGAGTTTAAAGACAGTTAGAAATAATTATTGAATTTGGCTTTAACCTTTGAATTGGGTTTTGAAATGAATTGGGTTACTTAGACTCGAACTGTAGATAAAAATTGAATTTTGGCGCATTATGCATTATGTTGTAGCATAAAAATTTACACTATAATATGATTTTCAGAACCAATTTTTTAAAAAATGTGAAAAATGTCTGAAACAAGGAGAAAGAAGACAAAAACAGAGGGAGGGCAATGAAGAAAGTAGTTGCTTTGTTAAGGCATCAACTTTTGGACATTTTAAAAGTGATTAAAGCTTAATTTCATCTAGGTATGCTTTCCTTATCTCTTCTTTTCTCTACATGTTTTGAAAGTGAGGTTTGAAGTTGGGAGATAAGAATTTTCTAATCTAGGGCTATGGGTCCAAATTTATTGATCTAAATGGGACTAATGAGAGTTGTTTGAGTTATTTAATCCTACATATAGTGGTTTTATGCGTCTATAAAAGTGACTTATGAATTATGAACAAATTTGTGCATTAAAATGCTATTAGTGATAAAGGTTAGAATTGTTGGAAGCTATTATTGGTGGTAAATGGATTTAATGAAGTTAATTAAAGTTAATGAAAGTTAATAAATCTAATGTTGTAATTAAACTCAAGAGTTGAGAGTTTTGGGTGATTAAAATGTTTAAATTTGAGAATTGAAAGCCGTGATTAAAAAATTAGATCGAATTGGATTGTTAGACTGATTCAACTATTGACGATCTGGATTTCAGCTCAGTCAGCATGTAAAAATTGTTTTAGAGGTCACGTCATTTTAGATAGGTAGTCAAATCAGGAATCGAGATTAAGCTAGAAACCAGACCCGATTTTCAAAAATCAGACTGTTTAAAAAAAATTTAAAATTTTTTGATCAACTTTTTTAAAAAAATGACCAATTTTTTTAAGTATTTAATGTTATGTTGTATCATGTGGCTTTTTAAGTCATGATAAACTTAAAATATCTAGTTTTATTTTTAAGTTAAGCAATAATTTCATATTTATTTCTTATATTTAGATTGTTATATACATATATAATTTTTTAATTTAATTATTACATCACTGATTTGACTATTGGTCCAACCAAGTTGAATCATGTGAACCATGAACTGCTGACTTTTTCGATTTAATATCCAATCTAATTTTAAAAACATTTGTTGGAGGTGATTAATTTGTGACATTAATGATAATTTTGGGTTGTTGAATGATATATTAAGGATTATTTAAGTTTTTGAGAGCTAAATAAAGTTGATGGGATTTAATGAACTTATTGAATATGAAGTTGATCTTGTAGTTAAAAAATTTAATTATTAAAGTATGAAATTAGATGTTGAAAGTGGTAATTTTAATTATTATTAGTAATGAGTGTCAATTTTAATTGTAGATAACCTTGTGAAGTATTGATGACCTTGAATTTAGCTTGAACAGCAAGTTGTGATTGAAGGGTAACTTTCGACCTCTCAAAGGTTTGAAATAACCGAAAAAAATTAGCTTGTGCATTTGTTTAATTAATTGATTATATGTGAAAAGACTTATTTGAAAACCATGACATATTGTAAAACTATATTTGATGTAAGTTGTGGTAATATAAATAAGTTTAGATGATGTGATGAAATTGATGTGAATGGCATTTGTAAAAAATATGCTATATATGATTGTTGTTGTGAGTAGATATTAAAGTGTACAAGGGTGCCTATAAAAAAAATTGTGAATTAAGACTTGCGTTGAGCATGACTGTGTTTGTGATATTGATAAGCATGATATGATAAGATTGAGGTCAATAAAAGTTGCATGCTATTGGTGGGCATGAATATGCTTGCTATGTTTTGAACATTTGTGCATGGCATGATTATATGAGGCAAGAGTTCACCTATAAGAAGAGGAGTAGATGTTGTAAATTCACATATTATTGATGGCTTACCATTAGAATCGAAAGCTAGCCAGATTGCCAATTGTTAGAATCGGGAGGTATTTATTGTCCGATTGTTGCATAGGGACTGTCCCACTTGTTCTACGAGGGACTTAAATCTAATTAGTTTTCACCGATTCATGAAGAGGCTAGATTAGGAGTACAACATTCCATGATTGTTAGTATTGAAGAAAACTGTGTCGCATAAGTAAGTGTAATACTCTTGGCCTGACAGCTCCTTATAAGTGAAAAGTTTGGGAAATCCAAGTTCATGGACATAGCCTACTAAATAGCCACCAATTTCATGTTGAAAGTATCAGAAAGGTATAAAGTTGGCGGTGATCATGTATATCACATCACAGCCATATCGTTGTTGTTATTGTGGTTTGGCATAATTTGACTGAGGCATATGGTTGTTAGTATTATAACCTTATATGTGTTTTGATGCATATTATTATATGACCACATGGTTGTTATTTTTACGATCTTGGATGTCTTACGAAGGATACATGGTTGTTATTGTTGTAGCCCTTGCTTGCTAAGTAATCTAATGTTACATGATTGTTAGTTTTGTAACTATATAAAATAGGTGGTTTTATATGTGAATATGTTTCATTTGAATATGCGATTTGCATCACTATAATTAATTAACATACATTTGTATAGGCTAGATTAACCTTTGTTACTGAGTAATTGTACTCAATTCTTTATTTAATATTTTACAGGCATTAGTTTCGAGCAAGACAAAGGGAAGGCACTATAGGCTTAGGAACTCAGTTTTCTACTGTAAGCCTCTCATAATTTTAGATACATATGTGTAATTAATTGAAATTACTAATTAGGATGTTCATATTTAATTATTATTTGCGCTATTGAATATTGACTATTGAAATGTGTATTTTTGGACCCTAATACATGTGGTATCTTTTTAGTTGAAAGATATGAGCAAAGTTAAAATACTAGTGCAAGTATAAATTTGATTATATGCATGTTTGTATTGAATTATATTGAATTTTGAAGTCAAAAAGCCTCCCCCTGCTATTTCTAAAATCAAGGGGTTAATGATTGAAATTGTGAAATATATAAAATCAGGTTATTATGTTGTGTTACATAGGTTGTCCTGAGTCTTTTGAGTGTGATTTAAGGGTGGTTGTGAGCATATGATACTTGGTTGTGATTTTGGACACCTAGTTATCTTTTAAAAGCAAGAAATGAATGAGTTTGCATTTTGATATTCTACTTTTGATTGAGAAATCACTTGAATGTGAAACTAATGTGATTAGTTAGAGCTTGAAAAAAGCTTTCTATAGACATCTAATTCACCTCAATCGAATATCGAATGAAGATTTAGGATGCATCAAAAATTTGGTTAAGAAATCTGACATGAAAGCTTGTTGCTATCATGAGTTTTACAGTTTATGCCACAATTAAAAATTTTATGCTGCAGCGTATTTTGTCAGAATTCTTTATTTTTTCTCTTTGGACTTCAATTTGATGTTATCTTACTTGATATGATGTTCATACTTTTATATATAGGTTTTACTCTAACTTCTGTTTATAAAATAATTTTATAACATTTTAAGTTTTAAAAACTTAAGATTTTATTTATGTAAATTTTGTAAACTTAATAATTTATTTAAGTTAGTCTCATGATTATCTTAATTTTAAAGTTAATTGTGAATTAGTAAGAGAAACCTTATAGATAGTCCCAATCTGAGGTTTGATTTTCAATTTTACGGTTTTAACAATAAAAACAACTGGATAAAAACGCGATGCTCTATACCTAGCCGCATCGGCTCATTTCCAATGTATCAGACACAAAAAGTGTAACAATATAGACGAACCTATGTTTACAGGACACATATCGGCGTCCCCGGTGAATCAGATTGGGATAACGTTAGTATTTCCAACGTATCCGTGATTCTAAGCTAGTCAACACTATCTCCCTCAAACTGAGGTTGCAATGTGCAATTATCCTAGGCCTAATAATATCAGCAGACAGGTTGAATCTACCATTGCAACATGGACTCGTACATGGAGATGCCATGAGGTCTTGCCTTCAATCAATATCTAGCTATAAATGTTTCACGACAAGTATGGCCTTCCTTAGAATTTAGAAACATGACCAACCAAAGCAAAGGCTTCCTCGACGGGCCTCCCTAATGGACTAAATTGTAGATGTCAACCCCACATGATGTCTCTTTCACTCCAAAATCGTCATCATTCATCAACATATACAACATCAGGAGGAAAACCCTCTCGCTCATTACTTGTCCTGCATGATAAGATAATACAAGGAACACGGGGAGGAAAATCTTCTCAACCATTGACACACAATTCCTAAGTACCAACCACCACTGCATTTTATATTAAATTAAGTAGACGGAAAATCCTTTACCACAGAAAACACACATCATAAGTTGTTCTAGAAGAGTTCTATGTTATTATTATTATTATTATTATTATTATTTGGTTCCCTAAAGTGGATTTGTACTTTAATCACAACATGCATCTTGTCTTATCTATTGCCTGAACTAGCTCCAAATGACAAACAAATTCTAACATGTTATATCATGCTAAAATATAGAATGTTTATAACAAGTCCTATCATTTACAAGTCATGGATAGTACAGTTCATTTACCAAATTCCCTGCAACACCGCGTACCCATCTAATTTTCATTGAAAAACATGCTATTCAATAACTACGAGTTTACCCTCAGTTTTTTCCCCTTCCTAGACTTTATATGCAATAAAATGTCCCCTAAGATCCATGGAAAACTCAGAAAACTAGAGCCCTCCTGGTTATATGGAGGGTGATAGGTAACATGATACCAAGCACAGGCCATTTGCATTTTTTCATGTGGTTGGCAACTACTTTCAAACCAATGTTTAACTTCATGCTGCAAATTCTTCACCGATAACAGAATCCGATCCTTCATATCTCCGTATCTCCTGTTATCACGCTGCAAATATGAAGCACGGCTTCGCAAGTTACCAGTCAGCAACTCATCCTCAGTCTCGGCTCCATAGAAGTTCATTAAAGATTTCATTTTCTCAGCATACATATCTCTATGAAATTTTGCAGCCTCAAGAAAGTCCTCAAAACCATCCACCTCAAGTTCACGATCATATGCTTCTGCTAGTTTCTCAGACCACCAATCAGAGTTGGACCTTTGCTGCAAGATCAACTCGACTATGGTTCGGTATAGTTTTCCCAAAACCCCCTTCGAGATATACATTGGTTTTCCTACCCTCTCCATGAAATCAGGAAACTCTCTCGGTTTCAAGGCTCTTGGCATTTCAGCAGGTGTTCCAGTCTTTGCAAAGTCAACAGCCATGGAGTGAAGCTCCGCTAACCCCAGACATTTTCTACTCAGAGCCTTCTCAGGTTCACGGTCTGCATGAACCAGATGAGCCGTAGAGATAGCACCTAAAGTATCATTGATCATGTAATCAACAAAAAATTGTTGGATCTCCTGCACACACAGGTGTGAACAAATAAGGAACAATTTCACATTCATTAATATTAGATAATGGTCAAGTCTAAACTGAACTGTGCCAAAAACTACCTTCATTGTCACCTCATGATCCATTACACGAGGCCTCCTTGAGCAGTCCATTGGAGCCACTGTTTTGCATGGGATTAGGTCTTTATCCCAGCTTATGAAATATAAATCACCATCAAGATCGCCACCAGAGCATTCATTTGGATGTGGCCTGTAGACCAAGAGATGTGTTTTCACTCCGTAGCAGCAATAGATCAGAACTATAAAATATCTACTCTCATAAGTAAATCTTCACAAGACAATATATGCAATATCTACTTTTAACAGATAGGTAACAACAGAAATGAAAGGTATGCCCCTAACAATGCGCATTGGAATACCAAACTTTTGATCAGCTGGTAGCATCAGATTGTAATCAACCTAAAAACATGACTAATGACTCTAAATACAAGCAGAGAATAAAAACACAAACAGCAGAAATGGTATGGCCTTTTGGAAGACGACGATAACATCTATCAAGTCCATGTAAAAATCTTCTATACTTACCTAGGCCCTTTTTGGGGGAAGACAAGGCAATCTCTCAAACTGTTCTCCTCTAATTCAACATCAAAGATAGCATCAAGGACTCTGATGTCTCCTGGGTGTAGACAAGGATTTTTTGTGACGACCACCTTGCCCACTATTACACATGTGCTCTCATCCACTTTCCTTAAGCTTTCATGTCCACATTCAAGCTCAGATTTTGTCATGGTTATGCGGACATACACTTGACCATAATTTAAAAGACCAGTTTCATCCAAGCAACCAATTAAAACCCGACCTTTAGGGACAAATATTCGGCATCTACTTTTCAAATCAGATAACTGGTACTCATAATAAGACCTAAGCATCATTGATAAGTAAGGTTCAATGTCTGGTTCGTAACCTTGATGCAACATCTTCACTAGAATGTTTTTTGAATCTGCACCACTTAAACTCTCTAAAACATTCAAAGCTGCCTCTCTAATATTCAACATTTTTGCTAATAAAGACAGCTGATCCTGCTGCAATGCCTCGAATACCTCATCTTCTATTCCTAAGGTGGACAACAGGGTTATAATCTCTCGATTCAGAAAGCAAGGCATAGCATCACTCCATTTAGTGACATTAAGCATTGTGCTGCTGGATTCAAACTTAAGCATATTTTTGCGCAATGATAACTTCCTGAAAGAATATTGATCAACAGCAATGACACCCTTGTATCCACCATAGCGAATTTGGAAGGCTGATGGAACATGGTCCAATTTACACTTCTCTGCTACTTGCTTGGCAAAAGATTGTGAAATTTTTCCAATACCATCAGAGAAACAATAGGTTGTACCATCATCAGAGGTTACTTCAATATCTGGAATTAACTCCACATCCCGTGTAGGAACTTCAAGGGTTTGCATGGAAGAACTGAACAATTGACCCATCCTTGCTGCACATTTAGAGACACTGGGTATCACTTTGAACCTTCCCATCCATTCTCTAATATCATCTGCTGTCACACTATCATTAGAAGCAAACATCCAAACAGAATTTGACCTGAGTTGACTTGCTGAATAGGCCAGAAATTCAAATCTTTTAGTCCCAATTATAATCCCATCTTGAAGAATAGTCAATATCCGCTTATATATTTCAGTTTCAAAAGACTTTGGAAAGATGCCCTTTTGAATGCTAGTGGAGACTGCACCAGTTGGAAGCTTACTCCAATCCTCTTCAACGAAAGTAACTCTAATGAAGTCTGAAGCATATGATGCAAAATGCTTTACCACATAATTAGAGGTTTCAAGCTCAGGACCAAGACAATAAATCTTTGATGGGGTAATCAAGGCTCTATGGCAGCTCATGATGTTATTATCTGTCAACCTTTTATGTGAAGATGGCGGAATAGTTCTTTTTTTACACCTTAGCACATGTAACTGACTCTTCACATATTTTAGGGGTTCATAACATGTGGAATTCAGGTTGTGCAACTTCTGAAGAATTACAGCAGAAGTTTCTTCATTTAAGGTGCTGAACGAATCAATCAAATCATCATCTACTGATGCAAAACTTATTTTCTGTGTATGAACAAGAGAATTGAGTTGAAAAATAATTTCATATTGTAACTTTGAATCTGAACCACACTTTACAAGTGGAACTATTTCTGCTGAAGAACAGAATTCTTCCCCATCTTCTAGAATTAGATCATTTAAATTCTCTCTGTAGAGTGGGAAACTTCGAAAAATATCCACAGCTAATGGTTCTTCTTCAATTACCCAACAAAACGATGTCGAGTGTCCAATTGACTTCATAGGCGAGAAGTCTGTTGTCCGTACCCAAACAAATTCAAAATCCTCCCGACAAAAGTGGTACCTATCAGCTTTAAATTTTGATGCTATATTTGGCCCAGCGATTTTTTTATAGATCTTTGGTCCATATTTGAGCTGAAATGAACAAATGTGGCAGTCAGTTTTATAAGAGGGCAAAACAAATATTTAACTTTACCTTAAGAAGATAAGAAATGGTCAAAATGAAAGAGCCAATAATGATAAAAGCTATAAGTTCTATTATACCATGGATTGTGACAGTAGAAAAAACATCTGACAGATCAACAAAGTGACTATGAAAGCCATACTTCCAATACACATAATAACCATACAGCATTATTTCATATGCAGAAATTCAAACCATATTTAGCTCATTCAATCAATTAAATGACAATGAGAAGTTGAATGGCTATAAGTTTTTAGAAATAGAAGTAGCCTTTCGGTCTTTTTGTTGTTCATGTTACAAGTCACTGAAAACACCAACACAACAACTATGCTTCACAAGGGTAAAACAAACTGTCAAAATATTTCAGTGGTCATCAACATCCTGAGCCCTGACGCATCTTGTGCAATTGTACTTCACCCAATATTATGACACAGAAAAATAAGAACTTCAAACCACTCAAGAACACTTGTAATTACTGACTTTTGTACTAACCAGAGTCCAGAACCTTACAATCTTTGTCTTCTGGAAATAATCTGGCTGTTGAAGAAAACTTAACGAACTTTTACTCTGGTTTCAGGAAATCCTACCAATAATTAGTTAATTTATCTACACATCAAGCCAAATCTTTTCTCCACCCTATATTCCCAATATTGGCACTTTCTGCGAGAATATGTCTCAAGGTCAATGAATTCCAAGTAGATGGGAAAAATTACATAGCTACAAATTACGTTCACCTAGATACATGAAACAACAGCAACAATTTTAAGGCATACCTTCAGAAGTAGTGCATTCAGTTTTCCTTCCCCAATAAAATACCCATTTGTCTCCAATATATCCTGAAATATTATTTCCAGTTTGTAACACTCTTTCTCTTGCCAGACCCAAAACTCAGCCCTCTCCCTCTCGGGCATGATCCATCCTCTCACACCCTCCCAGGATTCCAGCACACTCATACAGTTCTCTTTAACCATAAAACCCGCATGCAAGACCCCATTGTCGACCCGGTTTCTCGCATTGGCAGGTCTGAAGACGATGTCGTCTGAAGTCTCAGAGATTTTGAGGTAGTGGGATTTGAAGACAAGGCGGTCTTGAAGAGAAAGCGATTGAGCTTTCGCTTTGGCGTCGAGGGTAACGAACTGGACGCGGCCGAAACCCCGTGACTTCCAGTTCTTGCGCTCCGTAAAGATTTCCAAGGCGAAGACTGAGTCATGACCGGTTATGGACTCCAGAAATTCTAGGAGCTCTTTGGCTACGGCAGAATGGGGTATGTTGGAGATTCGAACTGTGGGATTGTTTTGCCAACCCATTGAAAATGGAGAGCCAAGAAAGGGCCTATAACAGAATCATACGAGCGGCTTTCCGATACAGAGGAAGCCCATGCCGACCGAGGAAAAGAAGTGGCGATACGGCCTAGAAAAGCGATTGGAATTTTAGACGAAATGGAAAAACTGTGGAAATTTAAGTGTGGAGGTCATAGTTCATACGAGTCACGAGTCAAAAAGAAAAACCCTAGTCACGAATTGAATTCAATTCAACACGCGTTGAGTTACTTTAGATCATGTTTGCTACAGAGGAATGAAGGAGAGGTACTGGAATTGGAATAGACTAATTCCAAGCTTTTGTGTTTGGTATGTAAAAATAAAAATTTTAATTTTAATTCCAATCCCATCTAGGTGGGATTATTTAGTACCACCATTCCCCTTGGTATTGCAAAATCAAACTTGGAATTGATTTTTGGAGAGACTAAAATGCCCTCCTATCCACTTCATCTTCTTCCTTCATTGGTTCAAGATCCATCGTCAGAAGCCCAGATCCATCATTATCATTTTCACTTTGAGATATTCTAGATCTGGCTCCAAAAGATGATCTTTGTCGTTGCGTTCGCTCACTCAAATCAATCATCTTCTTCTTCAGGTTTGCTTGGATCCGTCGCACACGTCTGGTCTCTCACCTTCGCCTTCACTATCTTTGATGGGTTCTCCTTCTTCTTCGATCTCACACCCAAGGGCCTCTGGGTCTCACAAACGTCGCCGCCTTCTCCTCTTCGATCTCGTCGCTATCGGCCTTTGGGTTTAGCAAACGCCACCGCCTTCTCCTTCTCTAATCTCACAACCATCGGCCTTTGGATCTCGCAATGAAGGGGTGGTGGAGCGTGGAGCTTCGTTGGAGAAGATAATACTCCACTGCCATGGTCGCTCATTAGAAGGTTTAAAAAGATCAAACAATTTTTTTTAAAATTATAAAGGTTATTATAGTCTTTTTATAACTTATGTTTAATTATAAAGTAAAATAAAAATAAATATTTTTTGTAAGTATTACCTCATATCAAACATGATTTTAAAATTTTATCATCATTCTCAATGCCAATTTTAATCCCAATCCTAATTTCAATCCTTCTAAATTAAAATCTACATACCTAACAGGGCCTTAGTGTGTCAAGAACACAAGAGTGGAGTGGGACATGGACTTGCTTCTCTCCGCTACCCTTCCTTTCCATTTCGTAAAATAAAATATGAATTAAATTAAATTTGAATAGTTTAAATTTAAAATTTTTATTTTATATTTATTAAAATTAAAATGTTTAATAAATTTATTTTATCACCAATCAAAATAATCAAAATTTAATTTGAAAGATTCAAAAATTATAAATATAAAATAAAAAGAGTTAAGAGACAAAAATGTCTTGAAAGTTGGACAAAAATATGGCAATAGAACATTCTTGAAAAGATAAAAGCTTTCATTTGGCTCCTTAGTAAAAATAGGCTACATACAGCAAGTCGAAGGGAATAAAAGGGGATGGTTGAATCAAATGAATGCCCTTTGAGATGTGGTGAAGTGGAGACTGCTATGTATATTATACATGCTTGTAAATTTGCACAAGAGGTGTAGAAGCAACCAATCAAACCTGAGCTGTGATCAAAATTCATGCAGCTAGATTTATTATAATGGATCAGATGAAACTCTACTATTCCATCAAGTTCCTACTATAATTTACACCCAACATGGCTAATAACCTTTACTTATATGTGTTAGGACCTGCGGACTACAATGATTGAGGGGGTTGGGTAGTGGGTTTTAATTGCAAACTTGAAAACTATCCTTCCACTATTGTGAAAGTCCTAGGAATTTTATAAGAGCTTGATCTTTGCTAGTTTAAGGGGTTTATAAATGTTGAAGTCTACTTTTACAGTATGGAAGCCATCAATCTTATAATGAGAGGGCACCATAAAAACCACCTCTATCATGATATTATTCAAAATGCTTGTAATATTCTTTATAGAGATCAGTTTGTTTTCATTAATTTTGCTTTTAGAAACATTATTAGTCATGCCCATTGCCTAACAAGGGAAGCTCACTTTATGGAGAGCTCTTTTTATACATTTGATCATTCCTCACTTGATATTATATTAGGATGTGAATGATGATTGAGGTTACTTTGTTCTTGCTTCAGTTCCTTTGTACTGTTCTGCTTCAGATTTATGAATGAATTTCAGATTTGATTTAAAAAAAAAAATGAATAATCCGGGAGCAAAAGTTGGATGTCTTGTTGGAAGAGATCCCCTGTATTATGCTCTACTGGTTGAATATAGTGGCCTTTTTAGAAACTCATGTAAAGTTTACCCAATTGAAGTGATTGCATGGACTCTCTCGCACAAGCCTGGATCCAGAATAGGATCGATCTCATAAATGCAGGGCCCAATTGGTGATGATCTATTTGCTTGGATTTTGTAATTGAGATGCGCTCCGACTTATTTAGTTTGATAATAGCCGCACAACTTGTTAGTTTTCTCTTTTTGAACTTTAGGTTAGTTTAAAAAATATTTGGCGTACACTGTTTTTTTTTTAAATTAAATGTGCCTAAAAAATATGATAGATACATTTTTCTAAAAAAAAAAAAAACATCTTTCTATGTAGTAAGCATTGCATAAATGTTTTATACGTATTTTTTATTTTTTTAATAAATATAAGAAGAAAAGTTTCGCCAACAATAAATAATATCTCTACCACTTATATCAGCTTTAATTGATTAATGTTTCATATTTTAATCATTAACTTCAAAAATTAAGAGTTTTGTATATCTTTATTTGATTTAAAGAAGTCATGGACATTTTGTATTCTCCCTTCATTGCAATCACAACAAGAAGTGATCTCAAAGACCAAGATATCCACTGTCAGCCATGGTTGATAAGTGTAAGTAAAGTGAGACATCCATTTGAGACTCACTTGTAAGTTTTAATTTCTTTTATTTCATCCTATACACAATTTGTTAATTTAGATTTTTTTTCGGGAAGATGAATCGAAGGAAGCATCAAGAGCATAAGCAATGGCACGCTCATAAGCTGGCTCTTGTATTTTCTTTGCAATCACAATTTGTAGTGTTATGGCAATTGCAGAACATTAGCAACTTGCGAGGTTGTGATGGAAATGAGGAGAAAGGGATTCTTTCAAGAAGGGAATGACAAAATGGTTCATGCCCTTTTAAAATCAAAATATAAAATACTTCAAATTACATGTTAAATAGCAAGTGTTGTTTTTAGATGATTGATATCTAACTTGACATGTTTTAAATCCCACTTAAAGAAGTCGGGAGACTAAAAAAAGAAACCAAGAAAGGTGTCATTCTTTATTAATGTGAAAGCTTACAATATATAAATAATTTTAATAATAACAAATGAATATTCTAATAATACCTAATGAATAAGAAACAGTTCTTAAAACTCAACACAATAAATTTTTATAGATAATATATCGTAACAAAATAAATCTATGACTTAACATTTCTCCTTAAACTCAAGATATCTTTGCAACAATTTATATAGTTTGATCTGAAAAATGTATCACATAGAGAGGCTTCAAAAAGAGCAAATATAAACTTAAGGTGATTCTTTAATCAATGAATATATAATCATAAATCATCATTAAACAAAATTTTAGAGTGATTCTTAAAATCATTGGACAGAAAACTAGTGAACGATTCTTAGATGAATAAATCATTGGATAGGAAACTTGAGGGAAATTCTCAAAAGGATGAATCATTCCAAAAGCAAAATAAAAAGATTGAGAAAAGTGTCATTTATTATAGATATAAAAAATTTACAATATATAAATTATCTTAATACTAATAAATGAATATCTTAATAATATTTAATGAATGCAAAATATTACTTAAATCATGAAAGAAGTCTCGAGAGAAATAAATGAGATTTGAAGAAGTGCTATTCATTATTGATATGAAAGGCTTGCAATATATAGGCTATTCTAATAATAACAAATGAATATCTTAATAATATATAATGAATATAAAATATACCTTAAATCTTAACACAATAAATTTCCATAATATATTAATAATATTAATATTAATTAGGCAGATGATGAATTAAAAAAATTAATAGATTGATAAAATTATGAGTTGCTCGGTTGGGATAAGTAGAGGAGAGGTTAAGTTTCTTTCTTTATTTCTTTCTTTTTTGTCAAAAAAGAAAAGTTAAATTTCACATAAAGTAATGAAATTGTTATTATTAGGTTTATTAAAAATTATAAATTCTCAAGAAGTTGGGACTAACTTTCTTGATTATTAGGAATTAACTTATTGAGGTAAATATAGTTAAATTTTATTTCCTAGTTTTTTTATCTTTTTTAAAATTTAACATTGCCAAATATATTAATTCGTAACTAATAAATGGATAATTATGTTATACCAAAAAAAAATGGATAATTATGTATTTAACATTAAAAATAATATATGTTCTTATCTAGTAAGTAGCCTTCTAATTCTCAATAAAAATATTATTAATTTATTTTGGCCTGAGAAAAATATGATTAATTGGACCATGCAAATTTTTTAGAGTTAAAAACAAAACAGTAGAGAAAGAGATTAACTTCCCTAAAATATAAAAATATTATTCGATACCTTTCTTTCATACTATGCAAAAGATAAATAGTAACTCAGAAATATTTTTTTTTTCTCACAACATATTTATTTTTTAACATTTAAATCTTGTGAAAATGTTTTAACAAATTCAGAAAAAGAGGGTTGCATGAAAACCAATGAATAACAAATTGCACAACATTCACAGCACGCGTCATACTCCATGGCTAATCATGTTTGAAGAGTCATATTTTTCCTAAATTCATGTGGGTGGATCTGATTCCAGAAACAAAATGAAAAAGAACAAACTAGACGCAAAACCAACAATGTATAGCCCCGTGTATGTTTACCATTATGTCGAGACCAAGAAAGCACATTTTATTGTCATGAAATTCTGAATATAGAAAAAACTTCACCTTCATTGTGAACTGAACTACTTACAGTAACCAAGGCAAAGCAGCGTCATCAGAAGAACTTCGATACTTGCTCTTGTTGGACCAAAGCCAGATCTTCGAAACAGAGAAGCTCTCACCTTTAACTCTATCTCCTATCTTCTTCCCCTCCACAGCTTCCTCATTGTCCGAAACATCAGACATCACCACTTGCAGATTTGAGCCACTCACCACATACTGATACGAACCCATGGAGAAGCATCTCCTTCCATCCATGTTACTACTACCACCCTCTTCTTCTCCAACCTCTTCTGCTCCTCCGTTAATGTTTCTGAACTTTCCAAGTCTCACAGAAAAAACCCTTTTTTCAATCATTCCATCTTCACTGCCTAGTACTCTCTGAGCATCTGAACACCTGGTGACATTCTCTTCATCTCCTTTGAATCTATTCAAAACCCATGAATTCTCATCATTGAATAATAGGTTTTCCATGGAAAAACCAGAACTTGATGAGATTGTCGCTCTGCAGAGAGGGCATGTGGTGTTTGAGAGAAGCCACGTGTCTAGACAACTGATGTGAAAAGCGTGGCCACACATTGGCAACAGTCTCAGCTTGTCCTGCTCAGAGAATTCGCACAGACACACAGCACAATCAAAGGGTTCTTTCAGACCCAAGACATCCTCGTAGTAAAAAACAGGAAGCGCGTCTATGAGAGATTGTTCTAATCCTGAATCATGTAAGCGAAAGAGATGATGAAGCTGCCTTTGAAACACACGAGAACGCGTGGATTCTGGGAATCTATTGGAATGATATAAAGGTGAAGAGGACGATGGAGTTTTCGTCAGAAGCCAAAGAACCAAATGAACGATTCCATAGACAAAGAAGATGACTGCTAGAACTATTATCACTAACAGAATAAGTGGGCTGATTTTACTTACTGATGATGAAGGAGATGGTTCTTCGTTGTCTTTTACAGTGAGGTAATAAGGAGCTTGGAAAGAAGAGAGAGGCGATTCAGGGGATGAGTACTTCAAGCTATCACCTATTTGCTGAGTTTCAAGTAAAACGCTGGGCATGTTAACAGATATCAAGATTCTTAAAGCAATCTTTGAGTTTGGAGACAGGAACACTGGGGCGATTTCCTCATGCAAACTCCATCAAAGAGACTCAGAGTCAGTATAACTGAAGAAAAAGAGATTGGAGAACAGAACTGAACTCACTGCAAATGAGAACAATTGAAGGGATGCTGATTCTTTTGACTACTTTTGAATCAAGAAACCCCAGACAAAGAGTGTTCGCCTTTTTCAGTGGTGAGGCAAAGAATGTTTACTTTTTCTCTAGTAACTAATAAAATGACTTAAGTAAAGTATTATTATCTTTTTAATAAAAATTTATTATATAGAAAAACTTTTTTAAGATAACGAATCATGTGATATTACTTGTGTAAGTTCTTATTAAGAAAGCATAGACACCAGCATGATGTTTGTGGTTCAGCACATAATGACGGCACAATGAAAAGGTCCTCTCTTGTTTATGTTTTCACAGTGCAGACCCAAAAATAATACATTTATATAGAAATATAGATAGATAGATAGATAGATAGATAGATAGGTATTGCACAAAAGAGAAAGCTTGTAAAAGAATTCTAAACAATGAATAAAGAGGAAGCACCAATATGTCGGCAATCAGATCCTGCAAACGGGACTAAGATTTCCTTTTAATTCTGAAAAAGAAGGTCTGTGGCAGCTCTGGGAACAGGGTCTACGTACTTCACCATTTTGTTGAATACTTGAATATACCATGATAAGATAGGAAAGTTTTGATCCGATTTGTATATGAATCTAAGTTTTGATCCGATTTGTATATGAATCTTTTTAGTTATTGGCATTTTATTGTAACTCAAAAAAGTATTATCATACCTGGAATGTTAAGATGTTATCCCTGATTGAAACTTCAAATTTGTACACTTAAGCATTGACTGTCTTCTGCAACATATTACTTTTTGAATATTTAGGCGTACTTCTAAACAGAGAAAGCGCCAAATGATCAAGATATTGACCTTTTCATGGAATTTCATTGTCCAAACCTGTCTACTTGTTAGGGTGGCTTGTCTTTTAAAACGCAGTTCACAATCGAAATCATTTCAGGTTATCATGACACCGTATCATGCTCGACTAATTACGCCATTTCACCTCAATCTTGGCATGATTGCAGCGGAAGAACAATTCTTGAAGGCCAAGATTAAAGATGTTCATCCCTCCTTTTTTTTCACTGAGGCCATAATATAAAAGATGGACATTCGTGGTAGGTGGGATGTGAGATGATATTCACGAGCCTCCCGTAAGTCCATTTTCACATGTTCAGAGAAAGTGACACGAGAGAGATTCCAACGGAAGACAACACAGGATGGTGGGGTCCCGTATTCCTTTCCTTTGCACGCAGGGCATCTAAATATTGCCTATGATTATGTCTGTCCAAAAGTTGCTTTAGTGGTGATTTTTGGTGTTCAACTCCCAACTAGCTAGAAGTCAAAAGGATCGGACTTGGATTCTATGAAATACAAATTTATGAAATGCTTTAATTAAAACTAAAAAAAATGCAGATACAATAGAAAAGGGTTAAAAAGAAAGAGAAAATAAGTCTTCATTCTCACTTCCTTTCTCATTTCAGAAGCATTCTGATTTGAGATTCAGGCATTTTGCCAACGTTGCTTAACTCCAAAATGAGAAATTCAATCATACACAGCGTGGAAGAAGTCGTTCATATGAAGTTATTTCTTGCTAACTCCTATCAAAGTTGTGAGCTGAAACTTATTTTGTACTTGTCCTTCAAAGTCATTACCCCAGAGAAGATGCAAGGAAAAAAAGCACCATACAGTAACTTCAATGGACATGAATCAGAACATTTCTGCTATGGACAGTTGAAATGTCTAAAGCTAAGACCACCAAATGCATTCAAGGATCAGAATCTCAAGAACCAGAACCTTCATCCTCATCACTTGATCCACTTTCTTCTTCACTGATATCCACATCCTCCTCACTTCCACTCTCTTTACCACCTGACGGGCTTCCAATGTCTTCTTTGCATTCCTAGCACAATATTCTGTCCCAACAACAACAGTATTTCACATTTAACATGGTTCAGCTCGTCACTTAAAGGAATTAAACAACGACTTTTTGCTGTTGGGAAAGAAAATGAACCCGTAAACTACAGTTTCCCCACTTCTTTATCAAACTTATTTTGGAGAAACGACAATGCCACATCACAATTGTTAGGATCAAAAGTATCTGGATAAAGCAAGAGTTGTGGAAGTAAGGTTTCCAAGATATTTACAAGATCTGGAAGAAGAGAAAAACAAAAGATGCATCATGCACGGTCATCTATCAATATATAAATATGCATGCATGCAAGAGAGTACGAGGAAATCAGGTTACTAGGATACGGCGAGAGGGCCCTATGCATTTTTTTTTTTTTTTGGGTGAAAGGGCCCTATGCGTTTTACGTACTTGAGTATGAAGATCCTAAAATTAGCAATTACCATATATTCCACTCCAATCTTCGCATATTTTACCAGTACTGCAGACAAAGAAATGGACAAAGAGTCAGCCATTAGCCATAGCCATAGCCATAGCCAACCTTTGAAAAAGAAAAACAAACAATTTCTAAATATCATTCCATAGTCCAAAACGATTTCATTTCCCTATTAGGCAAAGAAAAAAGAGGGGAAAAAATTAACAGAAAATTGGGTGCGCCACTCAAAATCATTATTTGGGTGAAATCTTGTTCACAAAATACATCTTTGGGGTACGTATGGGTATTCATGGGGAATCTCGACACGAATTTTCCAGGCTCCATCGTCGTAAGGGCTTGCAAGCATTAGGTTGTTACAGAGGTATTATAAGCCAATTCATATATTATCAATAATCAAAACCATTTCACGGCAAGTTAGAGAGATAGAGTAGCGTGGACAGTACTATCTTCTGGACCGTGAAATTCCACTTCCAATATATCAAGCCTATCACTTTAAAATCAGCCATCAACCTGGGAAAAAGGAAAACATGTACATGTTAATTAACATGACCTATGAAACGTTACTGATTATTGCCTATATCTCCAGCATTTGTAAGCACTTACAAGGTGGCCAACATGTTCGACAGCAATACTTTCATCATTTGTCCGCAAATTACTACTTGGTACTTACATAAGCTTTCTTGACTTCTATGTGTTTAATAAATCTTGCATTTCTTTTTCTACGACACATTATGATTGCTAGCTTATCAGACACGCTATAAATTCTTCAACATCTCACGACAAGCAAATTGATATTTAACCAATTTGACCAGCTATGAAGAAAACGGTCACCAAGGATAAATTTAATATTATAAGTATATATCCATCAACAATAAAACAATTCACTTACAAGTTCATTACATCTGTTTCTTTTCTTTTGCCTGAAGATGACATTCTGATGTGAGTAAATAACTTCATTCAACCTTCTATGTTTCTTGCTCAGCCAAAAGTAGAAAATTGTAAATGTAATTCTATTTGTGTCTGTCTTCGCCACAATCAAAGGTTCAAAATCAAGAGTTACTTCCATTGTGCTGCCCTCATAAGCTCAATATATTTCCATTAAATACAGGGGCCTTGTTCGTAACTCAGAAGATGCTGATATATGAGATGAAGAAGCACAAAAACCCATGCATGATTAACCTTGGAATTAATCTAATGTCAAATTTGCAAGAAGCATAAAGTTCACATAATCTCAAGATGACTATTCCGACTCCTACTATAAAGATGATCAAATTCTCTGCAGAAAGAGGGCAAAGAAGAAAAGATTGTGATAAAGAATATGGATTTCTTTCTGGGTCAAGTATAAGCAATAGTACCGATAAAGTATACCATACCCAGATAATGAGGAAAGATACAGAGATTGACGTGTATCTAGATCACCCAGGGAACAAAACATGAAAGAAAAACAAGTGCACAATGTTTATTACCAAGCTTTAATTGCCACAAGAACCAAAGAAAATAGCCAAGAAAGAAACCTACTGGATCAATCTGTCTGTGCTAGGAACGCTATGATCTTCTGATGACAAGGTGAATGCAAGTAAATGAATGAGCACGAGTCTGATTGACAAAGCAGAATTCGGAAATATATAGTTGGGTTTGGACTGGACTGGATTTGATTGGGGAGGATCAATACTTAAGCGCTGTGTGAACAATATTTTCTTTTAAGTTTTCCTTTCGCCAATAATATTATATTTTCTTGAGGTTTTCAACTGCCGCAACTAAATACCGTTAAGGCTTTGAAGCATTATGTACGCTATGTGACTATGTGAGGCCCCCGATCACCATCCATGATTTAGTAAAAAGATATGTGCATGTACATGTTGTTATTGACATCCCTTCCTCTTCTTTTTTGGATTGTTTGTTATTGACATTCCTAATTTTTTTCTTAATATGATAATATATCCTTGATGCTTTCTCGGGTTATTTGGTGCTAAATACTAGCATGAAATTACAAGAATTATGTCACGTATGAGGCATTCGATCACCGTCCATGATGTAATATTTTTTTGGCCTGACGTCCATGATCTAATGTAAAGATTTATGTTCAGGTCAAATATATATATATATATATATAAAGAGACATGCATGTTATTCATATTCCTGTGTTCATTATTGAATATGAATCCTGTAAAGTTGAGGCTTTATAATTGTTCATGATAATTTGTTAGTTTTTATAATCAAATGCTTTAAAAATAACATATTGCTTCTCTTTTTTTTTGGGCAAAAAAAGAGACTATTTTATTAATCACAAAAAAAATAGTGCACATGCTAATAGTCAAAACCAAAAAAAAAAAAAAACCTACAAACACAACCTAACCAACAAAAACTCACCCAAAAAAAGTACAAAAACAAGTTCCAACTATTCAACAAGCCAACAAAACAATTAACCAATTTTTTTTCTTTTTTTTCTCTCGACAAGCTGAAGTGTTCTCTCTCGACTAGTGAGAGTGTGCGAGCAAGAGTGGTGAGTGATTTTTCTCTCGTGTTGCTTTCTTTGAGTGAAATTTGTCTGCGATTTTGGTTTTCAATTTTGGTTTTATTGGAGTGAAAAATTCCTATGAGCTTTGAGTGGGCACTAGTTTTTTTTATTTTCCAATTAGGTTTTTTCTTCTTCTCTTTGATAGTTATCGACAAGATGGAGGGAAGTTCAAGGGGTGGACAGGGGACAAGGGGGAAATCTGGTTTAGTATTGAACCTTTAATGGAATGATAAAGGAAACACTAGGTGGTCTCTGGTGGGGTGACTTTTTTTCGAAAGGGAAACTAACAAGCCAACTATCATCGGAATGATTCGCAAGGCTTGGGGTTTAAAGGAGGAAGATCTAGATATTATGGAAAGCAGTCCAAAGGACTTCACCTTCTATTTTGCCAACGCTGATGATTATTCTAGAGTCCTTAGAGGGCGCTCGTGGGCTATTATGGGGAATCTTTTGAGTATACAAGAGAGGAAAGTTTAGAAAGTTATTGATGATATTAATTTTGATCGGTGCCCTTTCTGGGTACAATTTCATAATATCCCTATTAGTTTGATGAATAGGGATAATATTGGGAGGATGTGCTCAGTGGTAGGACATTTAATGATGTTTGAAGCAACGGAGGTCAATGGCCATGTGAAAAGAGATTTTATCAGAGC